CCCCGCCGGTGATGTTAGCAGCAGATGAGCAGCAGCAGGATGCCCGTGCCAACCCCGAGCATGGCCTCGGCGCTGCCAAGCAGCCCCGGACAGGGAGCGCGGCACGTTTGCTCGCCACGCGCTGCCCCACTGCCTGTTTGCTTTTAATTCATCAGAGGACACGTCCTGTTTTCTTGTTTACGGCTATATTTATCTCCTCCAACGAGGCCTGCTCTTCCTCAGGGACCTCTGAGGGGAAGGGTGGGATGGCGAGCAGCGGGGAGGGGCCGGATCCCAGGGACGTGCCCCAGCCCGCGCACGCGCCCGGCTCCGGCCACCCCATCCCTGCCTCCAGAAAGCTTTCGGGGCCCCTCCGACGTGCGTTTCGGCACTTCCTTCCTTTACCCGTCACCCACCTGGGGATGGAAAATGAGTAAATCCCATCCCGCCCGGAGCTGCTGCATCCCCCCCCAGCGCCACTGGAGCCCTGCGAAGGGCTGCGTCCCCCCAGCACCCTGCCCAGCCACTGCAAAACGCTGGGGTCAGGGGGTGCCAATGCAACCCCTCGCAAATCACTGCTGCAAAAGGCTACGCGGTGCCTTTCCCCTTGGGATCCCAGAGACCCCAGAGCTGGGAAAGCTGCTTCACCCAGCTCACATCCCACCCGGGAGCACCAGGTGGACTCCAGCATCCAGCAGACTCCCAACCAGGGTGTTCCCGCTTGCTTTTTGCACTGACATTTCAGAATTCTCCCGAAAACTGAGCAAACATTTAATCAGTAACTTAAGACAAACGTCCCTGACTCTTGCTCCCCTGTTCACCACGCTCTTAAGTGTCCCGAGCAGAGCCGAGTCTCGCTGCCACGAATTGCTCAACCTTGACACGACTGGTTAAAAAAACACCGAGATGACAAATCCGGTGTTCTTTTGTTGCCCTGTAATGAATGAGTCAGGCAGAGGAAAACTGGAATAAGCCATCAAAGGGAAGGAGAGAAAAGGCAGGCACCTGCTTAATCCTGTTCACCATGAACGCGGATAACCCCAAAATACTATTGGGAGTTTAAAGGTTTTTCCTTAACCCGGAGCTCACCCGCTTGCTTTCCCAGCCCAAGAGCATCCTCACAGCCCGGAGGGGTGAGGGACCACTGCTGCCCCGCAGCCCGGTGCCCTGGTACCCTCCAGCCCCCTACGGGCTCACATCCTGACCACGCGGCCAGGCCACGCTGCGGCCAATTCTTGGTCCCCAAAGGGGACAAACTATAGGTTTTGTGTGAGCAGAATGGTACCCAGGCTTATAGGGAGCCATTTCCCCACAGGCTGCTCCCTGCCCAGCCCCTCGTTTGCCCCCATTACCCAAACCTTTCCCCACACACACCTGCAGGACCCCCCCACGGTGGCCCTTCCCCAGGTCTGTGTTATCCCTGGATGCAGGTGCAGGACGGGCTCTGACACGGCTGCCCGGCAGCGCTTCCCCTTCTCACGCTGCAGGAAGGCATTTTGCAAAGTCACAGCTCATAATCCGCCGATAATAGGGATTAAAATTATACAACCCGTCAGCAGGGCTTCGGGGTCATCGTCTCGCTTTTGCCCTGAAGAGCGTGCCCAGGCTCCTTGTGTCCCCATGCGGCTGGGGGAGGCAAACCCTGAAGCCCAGGGATCCCAGAGTGTTTTATCCTCAAAATGGATTAAACTCTACATACGGGGTGGGTTTAAACACCTCTGGGTGTTGTTCTGGTCCCACCACCAGAGCTGCTGTGGGCACCCATCCATCCTACGAGGAAAGGCTGAGGGAGCTGGGCTTGTTCAGCCTGGAGAAGAGAAGGCTGAGAGGGGATCTCATCAACATGTACAAATATCTCAAGGGTGGGGGTCACAAGGACAGAGCCAGCTCTTCCCAG